GATTTATGCTGAAAAGCATTTCCCTTAGATAAAATCAGATAGATTCATTTTGAAAAGAATCAGTTAGATAAAACCGGGCGAAGGTTCATTTTGATACTCGTCTAGATACAGTCGAGCGTACTCATTCCATTATATTTTTCAGATACAATCAGATGAAGATTCATTCTGATCCACTTCTGGATACAGTCAGGCATAGACTTATTCCAATACATTCTTCAAATACATTCGAGCAAAGACTCATTCCGATCCACCTTTGGAAACAGTCCAGTGTAGACTCATTCCAATACATTATTCAGATACAGTTAGGCGAAGACTCATTATGATCCTCTTATAGATACAATCAAGACATAAACTCATTCTATAACATTATTCAGATACAATTGAGACATAAGATTCATTCTGACACTCCCTAGCATGTCTTCTAGACACAGTCGGACACAAACTCATTCTAGTATACTTTTTCAGATACAGTCGGGCCTAGACTCATTATGATACTCATATCAACATTTGCTTTGGATGGCATCTATAAGCTCATCTCCTACGACACTATGTCAACTTTCCGAATGGCATCTTTAATCTCGTTTAAGAAATACAATCAACCAACAATTTCACTTCGTGCACATGTGAGTGCAAATTTCTGGGCAGTTATCAGTATTCAATCCTCTTCCACCTTCAGATCACGAATGGCGAACATGCCAATCTAACTCTTCAATTTTAAGAAGATTGAACATGGGCAGATATTGTACCATAAATTATGCCCTCCCATTTTCAAGATAAGTTAATTCAAGATATCTCCTCATGCTCATGAAGGTCTCAAACACTCAAGACTACTCAAGGGTTGACTAGACAAACTCTCCTCCTAAGCAATTGACCAACAACTAGAGTTTTGGATTTCTCAAAGGAAATTGGATTTCTAATGCCTCAAGTGGACTTCATGGTTTCTCATATGTCTCAAGGTACCCTCAAACCAAGTCTCAAGCCTTACATCACAAATTTGGCCAATCAATTAGTCAGATGATTGAAAATCAACTGTATCGGACAAAAAGTCAACTTTGACCAATTTACATTCAAACTTCAAGATTTTTGGTCAAAATTAACATTTTGAAGTCAAATTAATCATTTAATCAAGGGTTGATCATAATTCATCAAGAAAACTCAACGTTCATCAAAAGTCAAATGTTACTAAATTAGGATTTTCTTTAGGAGAAGTTAATTGAACTTTGACCAAGCATAACTTTCACATACTTCATCAAAAATTCCTCAACCAAGGCCCATCTTGAAGGAAATTCAATTCTCTACAACTTTGTCACTCTAAGCTCAAGGCCAAAAGTGCTGCATTTGAGAGATATGAGCCAAAACATTACAGGTCATTTTGAAAGTCAACCAAAAGACATTTTTTGTCAAAGCAATTTATATCAAGTTAAAGGCTCCAAATGAAAAACTTACCAAAATGTGAGTTGTAGGAGACATCTTGAGGTTTCCAAAAACTCTAAGATCACCTTTATATGACAAAAATTAAGAGAGTCATGATTGGTGCAAGTTGAGCAATTTTGAGGAAATGTATGAAACCTAAATTGAGCAAACTTAAATTTTTGGGCTAATGGGCCTAAGTTTTCAGGTCCAAACGTGTTCATGACCTCATAAGGAACTCCTAAATCCATTCATATATTTTTGTGATTTTTATTTATTTTATTTTTGATTTTGTTCAATTAAATTCAAAATAAATCAAATAAAATACAAGACTAATGGATAAGGGTGTGTAGGCTTTTGTTCTAATCATGTTGAAGGCCCAAAAATTTACCATGAAGCTCAAGAAACTGTGTGGCCTATGTTTGAAACAAATCTTCATAGTTTTGGAATATTAGAACTTATTTTCAAACAAAATCAAAGATATAATTGCATGAGATTTTCAAGCCCAAATGTTGACCGTATCTTTTCTCTTATATATACTCAACATATTCAGACCAAGAGGACATAAAATATTGCCTTAAGAACACACCCTAAAAATCTCAAAATTATCAAGAACTACGGCAAACTCAAATCTTAATTTTTAGCCACTTTCAATCCATTCCAAGCATTCTATCGTGTTCTTGAATTTTCCAGAAGCTTGAAGCACGTCAGAACAACATACCCCAACATCACCAGTTTGGTAAAATTCTTGGATTTCAATTTTTAATTCACGCGTTGTTGAATAATTTAATGTGTGTATATATATATATATATATATATATATATATATATATATATATATATATATATATATATATATATATATATATATATATATATATATATATATATATCCATGATGATGTTTAGAACATGTTTGAATAAGAAAATGCAAGCCTTAACGCAGGGAATACGAGATGCCATTGTTAGGGCATAAAATTCGGTTTGCTTCGTATCTTGTGTTATAGGAATTTCCAGGCCAAACTAACACCACCATTAGATTCAGGAGGTCCAAATAAGGGGGACACGACCCCTCTTGATCTTTAAATCTTGTTGTTTTTGCAGGTTGAATTTTGAAGTTATCGGAGAAGACAGCCGGAGCTAGGGCTCCGACGCTTCTCATGTCCCTCAACAGTATGGATACTTTAGAAAAAGACCCTCGATCAAATCATCATGGTCTCTTCGAATAAAGAACATCGTCCCTCGATGACCCTCCGAGTTGCCTACAAAATGATGATAGTCCCTCCGATACAATTGCTAAAGTATCCTTACATGTTGCCTTCGATGACCATACGATGACCCTACGCATGTCCCCTCACATCTAATAGATAGGGTTACCTATCAACTAATGGTATGGATAATACTATCTCTAAAGGAGAAGGGAAAGAATAAGAAAAACCATACTTAGTGGGTAAGACTCTTAAATGCTTGCTCACAAACAAATACATTTTTACACATCACTTTCAAACAAATATTTTCAAAAATACTTTGTATACATTCTTGAGGACTGATACAAGAATCATTATAAAGTCTGCCTTATATTGACATTTCAAAATATTTTCAAACAAATCACAAACACACAAAGAAAGTTTTCAAAAGTGAGCTAAGAAATTAAGAGCCCGTAGATAACTAGAGATGAAAAGGGTACTAACACCTTCCCTTTTCATAACATACCCCCGAAATCAAAGTCTATCAAAGGTCTTTCCTGTTCTTTTCACCTTTCTTAAATATTGGATAAAAGAAAAGTCGGTGGTGACTGTTGTTATCCGCACATTTGGATAAAACCAAAAAGTAAGTTCTCTTTTCGTATTACAACTAACCTACCCCAGGTTAAAAATGAGGGTTTTTTTATGAATAGAAAAAGAAACTCCTACTTCAAGGCTCAAAGTGGTTAACGAGGATTTCACTCCCTTATATCTCCTGTGTTTGGGAATTTGAAATAATGCATGTACACCGTCAACAGGATTTTATCCAAAAGCATACAACCAGAAACTTTGTGTTCCAATCTCTACCTAGGCATGAGAATAGGTAATAAGTTGGTATCATGATTAAAAAAAGTAATTTAAAATTGAAAACAAATACGAGTAAAATGAATGGGTTTCTTCAAGACAAACATATTCACCGCATTAAGATAATCATTCAAATACAAACAAGTTCTTACATGCAAATAGTGCAATGATAAACAAGAAAAATTACAAATGAGAAAGAAGTAAAAAATGCAAATAAACTGAGAAGGCTAATCATCCTTAAACGTTAGGGCATCCTTCAATCGAGCTCTCCAAATTTCATACATGCTTGAGCAGCGGGTTAACTACTCCTTTGTAAAAAGATGATCTCATTCTCTGTATCAGAAGTCCCTTCCAAGGTTGTCAAGGGAGAACGTAAATTTTCATTAATCTTCTTTCTATCAGCGAGAACAGCTATCGCTCCTTCTTTAAACAAACCCTAGCTTTTTATTATCTCGAGATCACCCCTTAAAGCAGCTTAACCCCACAGTTTCTTTGCACATTTTGGACAGCAATAACAACTAAAATTAAGCAGTCCTCTTTGAACCCATTTTTCATGTATCTCTCTAGAAGTCGTAGTATTTAGCTCTTCAATCATAGGTTCGTAGACATAGCTAGCATATGCTTTAACAGGGATTTGAAAATCAAATCCACAATCACAAACTCATCATCAGAAAAGAACTCATCAGAAGACACAAACTCATCATTAGAGTCAAACTTATCAGCATAACCAAAGTTGTAGTAGACATCTTCAAATTTATTGTGAAAAAAGAATGAACTCAACGAGATAAAAATTGACAAAGTTATGATCATTTGAAGTCACACAAGAAAATTTCGTAGCCTTCTCAAAGGACTTGTAATCTTCTTCAACCATTAGTGATCTTTCATTCAAAATTAGCCTTAGATGCTTGAAGAGAAGTTGTTAAGGACTCTTCAAAGAGAATTATGGCTTTGGAATCAACTCAATATCCAAAAAATTAGCAATATATGGTCCTTGGGAGTTAACCAACCCTTACTAAGAGAGTATCAAAATGACTTGTAACCTCTTTCAACTTTTGATGACTTTCCTTGCACAATTGGATCTTGTCATGTGAAGAGAAGTTGTTGTAGATGATGGTAAGAACCCATAGCAAAAAGAACCAACTCAAAATATTGAAAATTTAGAGAGTTATGTACTTGTGATCACTGAATCAAGCACTTGCTCAATTAGGTCAAACTTGTTGAATCAACCTTGAATTTTTTGAACTTTCTTTGCAAAATAGAGCACGATGGATCACATTAGACCTTGAAATGATGTTATCTTGAAACACACTCAAAGATGAAGTTAAATCTCAATGAAACTTGTTGAAGAAGGCATGTAAATAGACACATGAACCAATGAATCTTCTTGATGAATATCACCACCAACCTTGAGGAAAACTTGACCTAAATAAAGGTAAAAGAGCTCTTTAACCCAAAAACTTTGGAATCTTAGACATATCATTGAAGCTTAATCTCTTGTAATCCATTGAAGAACCATTTGAATGAGGATTATCCCTCAAAACTCTAGGCTAGATGGTGAGATGGATGCAGTTGTGTCATCACCTACAGTATGAACATCCAAAGAAACATATATACATATTTTTATGTTAGTTAAAAATTAATCCAGCTAAAAAAACACATGTACAAAATACAAAATTCAAGGTGATTGGTGATCTCTCAAGAACAAATTTAACAATAAAATAAAATAGAAAAGAGAACTAACCCTAATGAATAATCTTGATGTATCGATACACATAAAACCCAATGCAAAGCCAACCATCCCCTATCAAAATATCAACACTTATAACAACAACAAATTCACACAAACCCTGTTCATAAACTAATCAATTTTAAAAAACCAAACAATCTCTTCATAACAAGTTATGAATCTTCCAACAACACAGAGAGGTGCATAACTCACAAATTCAAAACAAAGCTATTGGAAATTGCAAAAAATCGAAGGAGAGAACTTGATGGCAACACAAAAACAACTCAGATCGCCGACCAACCGATGGAAAGCACTGACGAAAGCCAATAGATGCAAAGCCTCTCGAACCTCCGTGACGACATGCATTCGCCACCACACCTGCAAATCGGCCGGCCGTCGCGCCGCCCCGATCGGCATCACGAACCGGCCACATTGCAAATCGCGACTACATACCCGACGACACACAGATCGCGCCGCCGTTGGCCTACCACGCGTCTCCACCGCCAAGCCGACAACTGAACTTCGCCGTGAATTCATCTCAAGACATCAGGTTTGTGGTCTTTCATGATTTTTATATAATATTGAGTTAATTGTTGTGTGTTTGTCTGCAATTTATTTTAAACTTTGAAGAGAGTATTTTATAGAAGAGAAAGGGATAAATCACGATGGAAAATAGAGAGGAATGTGTTATTTTACATGTTGCCATGTTTATGTTGTTTTTATTTTATTTTATTTTATTTTATTTTATATAATTACCTAAGTCATGTGTCATTATATATTTGGTCACTTTTGAATTTTGAGCTTTGAGCCTTTCCCTTTACACTTAACATTATCCTAATTTCATCAACACCCCCACTAATTTATTTCTTTTATTTCATTCTCTTTTCTATTTAATTTTTAATTTATTTCTAATTATTACAAAAAAAATACAAGAATGTTAAACATATAAAAATCCAAAAAATGTTTAATCAATAAAAAAGTAATAATAATAATAATAGGTTAGTTAATTTAGGGTAATTATCCTCATAGTCAATTTGGGTTAAGTTTTAGTCAGTTAGCCGTTTTTAATTAATTAAACATAAGAATAATAGTAAAACCATTCAATTCTCTTTTTATTTCTCTAAAACTAACTTAGCTACTAAGTTACTAAACAAATTTAGGTTATTTAATCACTATTAGAAATACAAAAAATATAAGAGTATAGAAACACCAAAATAAACCTTTATTTCTTTTTTAGGTAAAAATGAATTAATTTGTTCATATTTATTTCAATTTCTTGATTAATTTAATGTTAGTATCTTTTGTGAATAATTCTCAAATATATACATAAATTCAATCTTTCTCAATCAAATTTAATTATATTGTTACAAATAATAGGATAGGTGGATATACATCCATTACGTCCTCGAGTAATTAATTGATGGGCTTGACGACTTACCGATTGATATTCAAGATCTAAAATGGAAATTTTGTACGTATCAATTTGCTCCCTTTTTAAATTGAAATTAACTAAGATTTTTGTAAATGATAGAATGAGTGGATGCACTTCCACCACGTCCTCTAATAATTAAGTGGTTGGCTTAACGCCTTACCGATTGATTAGTCAATTCAAATTCAAACCTAAAATCCACGATAACTCATCAAATATGTCTTTTTCTTCAATCAAACTCTTTCGCCTCTGTGCGATAAACCAAGTCAATTTCTTTGGCCCACGCGGTTTAATTCCAATCAAGATTAATTTTTTTCATAATCTAAAATTAACTAACCAAACATATACGAACTATGGTACTCTGATTCCTCTTCGCTCCCCCGAGGATATGTAGGCACAGGGAGAAACCTAGTGAGCAATACTTAAAATATTCTCTCTTTTCTGTAGATAATAAATGAATAAATAAAGTACTTTAAACAAGAATAAATAAACACACCTATCAACTCCAAGATTAGAGAAGGATTCCCTTGAGTACAAGGGAGGTGAGGGGTGCCTAACACCTTCTCCTCGCTTGATCGACTCCCGAACCCTTAACTTGGTTGTAAAGACCGTTTTATCCATACAATTAGGTTTTTCCCATTAGCTCTCCGTCCTTAGGACAAAAAAATAATGGTGACAATTTTATTAATTTAACCAGGTGTTTCAAATGCCAGCTCTAAATTTACCTATAAAATCCAGAAACTAAGAGACTACCATCCTAGATAAGAATTCGAGCAGTATATGTCTATAACAACCCAAATTCCTAGCACGAAGTAAAAATCAAAGATAACAATCCATAAAGATTTGTAAAGCAAATTAAATATAACGCCATTGACGACAAATATACATAAGATCAAAGTAAATACATATACAAACCCAACTAAAAGAGAATACACAAAGAAAAAGAGAAATAAACCATAAATCTCCTAGTTTATCAGCGTTAATCGAAGAGCAATCCACCCCGGATCATCAGTATGCAAGCTCCATAGTTGTTATCTAAGCTAAACCTAGAGAAAAATGAGGGTTGATGGAGTTGGGAGCAAAAAGTATCCCCAAAATCATAACCTAAAAATGAACTAAAATGAAGTTATAAAACAAATCTCAACAGACCGCGCTAAGCGGGCTGCACGATATTTACACATTAAAACGCCTAAACCGCACTAAGCGCGCTATCCGTGCTAAGCGGGCTCAAAAACTACGCTTCTTCTTGAACAAGAACAACACCTCACTCTAAGCGGCACCAGCGCGCTTAGCACGCTCTCCTGGAAAGAATTACTTAAAAATGGACTTTTATTCCATAAACGCGCATCCAGAGCCGTGTCTTCAACACTTTATTCCTCGGTGCTCCAAATGTGCAACAAATACCTACAAAAGACATTAAAACTATCAAAAGTTACACTACATACATAAAAACACAATATTCGCAAAGTAAATGTATTTTTACAAAAGTCGGGTTTATTCAATGATTATTAACAACAAAGAGTCGATAAGTGCAACAAAAAGTATATACAAAAATAGCTACTATTTTCACTTATCACTTTTGAGACAGGGAATATGGCCAGCAGGAACTGAAGCAAGTATGTCTGCTCTTTCTCCGCATTCAGTTGGTGTCCTTACTTTGAACACTCTTTAGATGTTAAAGAGTGCATCGGGTCTTCCGTCCCGTCCGTTATTGAAGGGGTTGATCACATGCTCCTCTAAAGACCCTAGACCCCTCCTTTAGAAGAGGATTGCTCATATTTGGATAATTTATCTGGGCCTTCCTTTGAGGAAGAACTAGAAAGTATGGCTCGATATTGTTTCTCCGCAAAACAATCGCTAGCCTCTTATTAAAGGTTACTTGCAGGATCGATTATAATAATCCTAGACTTAGTGTTTTGAGTGTTTTGGGTTGGTATAAGATAAAAGAGAAAAAAGTAAAAGACAATTGCAAGGTAAATAAAATAAACGACAAGACTTATAATTTGAAATGAAAATTGGAAACTTTAAATTGAAATGTGGAGGCATTCATACATTGTTAAGCCTAAACTCATTTCTCTCTTAGATGCAGGTACTTTGAGTGTAATGCTCTAAATATGAAGAAATAGACCTCAAACAAATACAAATGTTTTCTTAAATAGATATTCTAAAAGTGTAACCATCGACGGTTACTGGTCCTACGTTGGGATTCATGGAGAAACTGCCATAAACTGCTTTGAGACATCCCCATGTTCTTGATGGCTTAGGGGTTGATAACCGCTCTTGTCGGCATTTTCATTGCCTATCAACACGTGTGTCTATCGATCGTGCCTTCAAATATGATGCCTTCGTCAACTAGTCCTTTCTTGGTTTCCTTGATTGACACGTCCCCTTGTTCTTTAAGGAAACATGCTTTTATAAACCAAGGTACCTTACAATTTGAGGGCTTACTTCCCTGGTCAAAAATTGCATGTCAACAAATTGCCCCCCTAAAATGCCATGTTCGACGAAGTCTCTGTTGATGGGAGAACTTTGGCGATTTCTCTTCCAAGTTTTCGATCGCCTGTCTCTTCAGAATATAATCATGTCTAATTTCTGCGCAACAGTTTCCCATGTCAATCAATCACTTCCCATGATTACTCCTAGGTTTTAGGGCACGGGTTTTCCAACGTACCCCACTAACCTTTCCACTTCTCGGCATACTTACGCCATATTGAGTGACACTTGTTTCTCTATGAATGACTTTAAACTCTCTTTAAATAGATCTTCAAAACTTTCAATTCCTTTCTTCTTTCCTTCTCCTTCATTCCTTCAAACTCTACAATCTCTGGAAATCTTTAAAAGACATACTCTGCTCTTTTATAATGGCCACTCCCTCTAGTACTCCCTTCAAGACTGGTGGTAACCCCATAGCCTTCTTTATTTCTACAAAACAAAGTTTAGACTTCATCCGAGAGCCCCAATCTAAATCTAAATCCAAGATCACATAATGGAAACACCAAATGCTCATTCCCTTTGTTGTTGTGAAGAAACTCTTCTCATTCCATGGGCCTTATCCAACCCAACAAATGCATCCTAAAACTGTCAATAAGCTTTTCCCTTGTTTTACCTCTGCTATCTCTTCTGCGTTCAACTATACAAAATCCTTTGATGTTAAGTTTATGGTTTCAGATGCCACAGTGTTAACCTTCATACCTATTCCAGGCGATACGACGTATCTCGCTTGGCTCGACAAAGTCCAGGGACACAGGGATCCCAATGGGAAAAGCTTGGAATTTTTGACGTTATTCAAATTTCGCGGAACGCATATACAATCGATCCCAACATTATTCTCGCTTCACTCTTCTTTTGGGAAGGTTCGAGCAAAACTTTCCAACTTCCCAGTGGGATGTTGAAACCTACCCTATTTGATGTGGCAGCTATCACTAGGCTTTCCCCGCTGGGTATGACCTTCGATCCAACTGAGCCGATGAAACATACATTTTGCTTTGACCATTCTGATTTCTCCCGTTATATAACTGATCACCATATTGTGAAGACATCAGAAAATGTACATCCAGATGTTTTTCTCTTTCAAGCTCTGAATAAGGCATAGCTGGTTAAAGATATCTGCTCAAAGGAAGTCAAGTAGAAATGAAAAATCAGAAGCATAAACGGGATGAAATTTCGTGACCATCAAAGAGTCTCCTAAACAAGCACCTAGAATCAGACTCATAAAGCGTCAACAAGTGTCACCTCGACTCTCTCTTATTTTTTTATTAATTGAAAATATTGTTTAGATTAGCCAATTATTTGTGTTGTCTCTTCATTTTGCCATAATATGTCATTGTGTGCATTGTATCATCTTCTTGAAAATAAGTATAAGTCATTATTGCTTTCTTTGCGTGCTCTCTTCCAAAATTATTATTTAGATTCTTTTTAAACAATAATTCTTTCTCTCATCGCTTCCCTAGTTTTTAGCTCAAACCCTTTCTTAGTCCTAGTGTATTTTCGTGTCTAGGAATCCG